AGTCAACGTATATAAATATCAGATTATCGCGAATTGAATCGAATTTTATTGTTTGTAAACGATAAATAATGTATACAGAATTTCAACGCAAAACAATGTGCCTTTACACTCAGTAGGCCTATGCTTTATTATTAAACGTTACATTTATTTTTCATTTGTATGCCAGCAATGGACATTGAAATAAAGTCCACATTAATAATATCTGTCATATTTTGCGGTTCGGATCGGAATATCCGTCCCGAGGTGACCCGCCCATTGGGCGGTAACGAGGCTTGCCGAGTTACCGCCCATGGGCGGGTGACCGAGGGACGGATATTCCGATCCGGACCGCAAACATATGTCAGATATTTTTTCTTGCCATATTCTACCATATTCCATTATCTTTAAATTCTTTAATCTTTATTTCAATGAAAATTAATCATCACTGACAACCATAACCTACTTTCTTACAAACGGCCGTATGAATTACAACTTCATTCATAACGTAAAATGACGTCCATCCTAATCGTGCCATTGTACAGCACGCGACTCATCTGGAACCCCCCATGCCAGATGAAATTTTCGGCATGGGTAAAACTCACGGAAACGCCAGTCTGATATGCAAGAATAAGTTGTCCAATATGTATGGAAGAATCCAATGACCCGCGAATCTTGCCATGTCAACATTCATTTTGTGAAGCATGTTTATCAACCCACATTAAAGTGTCTCGTGAGGACAGGCCACACAATCTGTTGTCATTTACATGCCCTGTTTGCCGACGCAAAACGAAATTGAGAAATAACACCGACGATGCATCGTCATTCAAAAAAGATTTGACTAAAATAGCATTGCTGCAGTCCAAACACATCCTCCTAATGCAAAATGGAGATTCATCAATGAAGGGGACAATCCATACACTTACCATAAAAACCAGCAATACAGGAATAAAGGTAAAAATTAAAAACCCGAATAACAAAATTTAAATGTTTTCTTTCTTGAAAAAATTTGGGTTTCATTTTTTTTGACTCGCAAAAGATTTCAAACATTTTAATTTTTTTGGGTATTCAAAAAAAAAAAAATGATCCTCTTTTCTTAAAGAAATAAAATCGATGCTTTAGCATCCGTTATCAAAACTGGACATTGCTTAAAATTTCTGATCTGGCATTAATTTAGTCATTTGAGAGGGGATAATTAACTTTGAATTTACAAAATATTTATTTGTTGCAAGACTGCGTTACTACCTCGTCGCACCAGCTCTACATACATAAATAATAACATGTTCAGTGTATCAAATAACCGATTCATATCCTGATTTTTCACAACAGATTGTTCTTATTACAGATTCCAATACAACGACATTACCTTATGAAAATTTCAACTTCGACATCCGGAAACTACCTTTGGGAAAACAGGCAGAGAAAAGTGATGCTGCAAGAACAGATAAAAGAGTTACCATACAGGACAAGGAGAAAAATAAAGAAGTAATGGAAACTCACGACCTGGATGTCAATGAGTATGTACTAATCTTTCCATCATGAACTCCATTATTTCTATGAGAATGACAGGAATTACCAGACATCTGAATTTAGCCTTATTTCTTTTAATGATAAATAGAGGATATTGAATGAGTGTAGTTTAATACTAAATTTATTGAACGAGTTGAATAAAATCATATTATGCGAGCCTCTGGCGAGCATAATATTGTTTTATTCAACGAGTTCAATAAATTTAGTATTGAATCTACACGAATATAATATTTTATTTATCACATACATGTATGTATAATAAGAACAGTTAACTGTTAAAATGAGTAATTTTTCAATGACGAGCATATAGTGTAACGCTAACATTTAATAGCGCGCTTTCACACTATGTTTATTTACATGTACTGTATAGCGCAAATGACGTCACGTCAAAGTGTTATTACGCTAGTGTAATATCGTTTTTTTTTAAATTGCTTTATATATTACACTCCTGCGCCGCGGTTTATGTGATAACACTAGTAATTGTTGCCATAGCTTTTGTTTAAGTGCCGTAACTTAATAAAATAACTGTACATATTTGTAGCAGTTATTTGGTTTGTACTTTTTCACCAAGAAAGTTATGAAATTCTGTCATCACAATCATTGTTAATTTGTAGAGGTCAAAAAGTATAAATTTAACCTAGCTTGTTTTCTACGCTTTTCCGTGCATATGATTATTATAGTTTTCTGTTTACATTTTATTTTGCGTTTGTGGGCTTTTCATGGACAATGTTAGTTAACTTCTTTTTCGACAAAAGATTCTATATAATTTCATTTAATGAGTTTTTGAAAAATTTCTTTGCTTTCAATCTAGATTAGAGAACTTTTTTCAAAATCTAAATATTCATGCAAATACTTTGTTGAGAGAATTTGTAGACTTCATGCGATATTAAATTTAAGAAATGATATTTGTTTCAGCGATGAGTATCGGTTATTTTACACCTGTTTGGAGCTGGTGTGTATTATTGATGAGGTCATCATCAGACCTCTCCATAGGGTTGAGATCGATTGCTGGCGGCATCCATTTTTTTGCGTATCAAATTGAAGCTAATACATTGCAAACTAAGCCTTAAAGCTGTACAAAAATTGATATGCGCATGCTCCGCTTCAAAATACGAAAAATTAACATCGAAGTTAACAAATCGGTACAAGGAATAATCGGGAAAATATCATTTACGTTACTTAACACTACGAGCAATGGTTCATTCCTTTTTTAATCCTTTGAATAATTGTGATTTAAAAACATACATTGTGCCTTTTATGCAAAAATATCTCTTAATATTTTCGAATTAAACAAATCTTTCACAGCTGCAAAAAGAACTCTCGCATGCTTCTTTTTAAAGAAGCAAACTTGTATTACTATTATTGCCGTCTGTGTCGAAGCGCGACACCCGATATGGAATGTACTATGATTTTGTAAAAGGGCAATTGCAACTTCTCTGGCCTTTTCGTCAAGCATAATAGCCGATTATTTTCCGATTGTTTATTTTTAAAAACAAAACGTCATTTGTGTCGCGCTGTGGTTTAAGAAATAATATATCCCAAACTGTGATTTTATTGCTCAATAACATCACTGTTTGGAGTTCGGATGCTGGGAATTATATCACGAGGGCGTAGCCCGAGTGATATAATGATGCGCATTATTATTTCGATTCTAACACGACATTAAGAAATAAATGCTGCCGTACATGATAATTAGCTAAATTGCGCCGGATTTGTTTCCGTACTTATTGTCTTCGCGTCACATTTTTAGTGATTACGTCACGTGTATAATGATTACGTCACATGTCTAAATATAGAACGTCAAACAGTGATTTTATATCATAATAACATACACTTTCGGTTTTTCTATGTTCAATAGGGAAAAATGCGGGTCGTGTTAGAATAAGAAATAACATCGGCCTGAGAGGTGTATATCGGCTAACACCGGTTTGGAGATTTGATGCATGGAATTGACCACGAAAGGCCGTAAAACTGAGTGGTTTATTTTTCGCATCAAAACGCCAAAACTGGTGTTAAATAGCCGATATACACATCTCAGGCCGATATTATTTCGATACTAACACGATCAAATAAGAAAGACCACTAATGTTATTTTTTCAAGCGGAAATAACTTCCGGTGCCGATTTTCGTATAACGCTGTTAGATTTTCGCACCCTTCTGTTGCGAAGATATAGAAATTATTAAGCAAAAGAAATATAGTGTGTATGTGTGTGTGTGTGTGTGTGCGTGTGTGTTGGTGTGTGTGTGTGTGTGTGTGCGCGCGCGTGTCTTGGTGCGTGCGTGCGTGTGTGTGTGTGTGTCAACAAGCATAATAAGTACGATAACATTTTCGTAAATGTTATATAAACGAAACATCTAATTCGACTAGCGCAGCAAATATTTTGCAAGTTCGGTTTCCTTTAACCTACTCAGTACTTATAAATGCAAGCTTTTGTCTTAGTTTTATGATATTGATAAAATATTGATGAAATTGACAACTTTGTTATTATATCTTAAGTTTTACACGGTGATGATCATATCGGAACTTTAATGCGACACATATGTCTTATTCAATACAAAATAAGGTACGTGGTGACATTCAAAATAGTTATTTTAATTTTAGAGGGGAATAAATTTTAAAGCCTATAAGTATTAAGAAATTTGATTTTAGACTATTGAGTGTTACTTACAATTATAATGATGCAATGAAAAATAAATGTTTGTAGGACGAGTACACTTTGTATATTTAAGAAATAACATCGGCCTGAGAGGTGTATATCGGCTATTTAACACCGGTTTGGAGTTTTGATGCGTAGGAATTGACCACGAAGGCCGTAGGCCTGAGTGGTTAATTTTGTCGCATCAAAACGACAATACCGGTGTTAAATAGCCGATATACACCTCCCAGGCCGATGTTATTTCGATTCTAACACGATGAAATAGGGAAAATCACTAATGTTATTTTTCAAGCGGAAATAACTTCCGGTGCCGATTTTCGTAAAACGCTGTTCGATTTTCGCACCCTACTGTTGCGAAGATACAGAAATTATTAAACAAAAGACATAATAAAAAACACGTTATTTTATCAAGTTTTCAACAATAAAAACTTACGTTGTATTGTGTTTACATCAGTGCCCAATTTATCATTCTTGTCTGTATGAAATAACGTCAGCTTGTTTATGAATGAGTTGTTTACTTCGGATGACGTCATTACGCTGCTTACGGATTGGCGCCGTTTTGTCAAAATATTTATTAACTGATATGGATCTAAAATGTGGCGTTAGTGTATGTGAGATATTATTTCGGTATTGTATGAAAAGAAAACATTATACGAACTGAAAATATAAATAAAAATGTTTTTTATTCTTGCTTTAAAATGCTTTGTAAACTATACAATCGAGGGTGAAAACATAACAGCGCATATACAAGTAGTCCCTTACCGGTGTTTATTGGCAGTTTAACACCAGTTTTTTCCTTCTTTGTCTATAGTGACAAAATCACGTGAGTGTTAGAATTAAGAATAGACTGAATGCTATTATGTTAATAATTGTATGCTACCATACATGAACTATTGTACAATTTTATGTAGTAAAAATACATGCACTAGCAATAAAATAGATGTTTTGATAAAGCAATGACTTATGTTCTGACTATCTCCTTACACGAGACCAGACTCGCGAGAATATACCACACCCGGCAACGGACCGCGTCGTAATAAGGTCTATAACATTTGAAAAAAGTAATGTAAAAACATAAACTTTAACATTGCGTTTACAATTCAGACTTAAAATGAGGCAACTTGAAAGTAATATTTGGTGACCTTTTAACGTTTAATTGGTTTAAGTAAAATGAAATTGGATAATTACCTTCTTTGAAGACTGATACAAGATCGAAGAAGAATAAAAAGAAACATGTTTGCATTTTTTTTTCCACAGAGACAATATGTCAAAATCAAAATTGGGGGCAGGTATTCTTGATTGTCCATTATGTTTGTAAACATACAAGGACCCAAGAGTACTTCCGTGTCAGCATTCAGTTTGCAGAGAATGTCTATCTATGTATATCAAGCGCAAAATTGATGAAGGAGGCCGACAAACAAGACTTCCTTGTCCGGTCTGCAAAAGAAAAACAAAGTTAAGAGACGCATCCTCTTTCAAGAAGAGTTTAACAATCTCTGGATTTCTTGATTCAATACAAAAGACATCTGCTGAGAAGAAAGGCAAGGCTGAAACAACTGAAACGCAAATTTGTTTTGAAGACATACATATTGAATCAAACGATGAAGTCAATGGTAAAAATGTTGTTTATTTAAGTTTTTGTATCTTATTGTTATCTACTACTTATATAAAAATGTACAAATAAATTGCATGAAAACAATCATGTACTAGCGATGTAAAAGCTATATAAGCTTTTCTAAATACCATATTGCAATGAATGTTATATAAATTGCAGTATTAATCTATGATTTACTATTTAGTAATCCATTTTATTTCAGTGATCAATAAAAAGGATATTGTGAATAGAAAAGATGAAACTGGTAAACATTTGGAAAATGAAAAGTATGTCGTGGTAGCAACGCAAGAAGAAAATATCACTGTTGAAAATCCCATTGACAATACCAATCAGAAACTTCTATTTCGAATCAGTCTTATTCTTTTCAGTGCTTTTTTGTCCATCAAAAATCAAAAACTTCTATCTCGAATCAGTCTTATTCTTTTCAGTGCTTTTTTGTCCATCAAAAATCAGAAACTTCTATCTCGAATCAGCCTTATTCTTTTCAGTGCTTTTTTGTCCATCAAAAATCAGGAACTTCTACCTCGAATCAGTGTAATTCTTTTAAGGTTGTTTTTGACCATCAATTTCTGGCCACAAATTGCATTTCTATATGTTTTATATGTGGTCGACTTAGCTTTGATAATAGTGAGTTTCTTCTTCTTACGTTATTTGGCAGTACTATTTATAACATTAGATTTCACTTTAAATTTTCAAAGAAGGCTATCTTTAATAAACGTATTGTATGAAAATCATGTAATAGTTAAAAAAAGGGGACATTTTTACCTTCTTGTTAATTTGGAATGGCTCAATTGTGCAGTATTTATCCTCGAAATAGCAATCATCTATGCCGTAATTTCAAGTTTCTTGGTCATTCTCTTTTATGGTATTTCTGAGTTTGCAATTAGTAAGATAGCAAAGAAAATTATTTTGGTTTACATTAATAATTATTTGGGTACACTACTCAGTGTCATTGTAAATGCAGTCTGTAATCTTATATAACATACAGCGTGTACAAAATCTAAATTGAATTGACAATAAAAGATTCATTAGATATATTGTACGGAAGCGTATCAGGGCCTACAGTTGGTGAGATGTTTGGCGCTAAATCAACTTATTTTTATTCGCAATGATAAGATGTTTTTGCATTTCTCAATAAAATTTACTGACAAAGATGAGAAGCTTTTAGGCATTGCAACCGAATTTTTCTCGATATGCTTGAAATTTTTGTCTCTTCGACAAAAATCTGGTCGAAACTTCTTGATTTCACGACTTTGCTGAAATATTTAGTAAGACGCAAAGAAGATACTCGCATTGACAAATAGCTCACGTAATTGAACAATTTTTTTGTTTTGCAATGATTAAAAAACTTTTACGTATTTACGTATTAATCATAACGTCTTCATGAAATGTTTTATGAATTAGGTATTAATCATAACGTCTTCATGTAATGGTTTTGGTCAAAACGGGAAGAAACAAGTTGATATGACGTGAAGCTTTTAGATAATTGGAGGCCCTGATTATCAACTGAAATGCTTTTAATGAAAGAACAAAATGATGAATAAACAGGCAAAAATCTGTCTTGATTATTGAAAGTCACAATTAAATTCTGATTTTGGGGAACCCTACATTCACGTTTCATTAAATTATTATATGACATGATTAGTGTTACTTATTTTATTGTCTCTCTTTTCAAAAGTTCCAGTAATGCAGATTGTACGGAAGGTTATCAGGGCCTCCACTTATCTTAAACTTACACGTCATGTCAACTTGTTTCTTCTCGTTTTGATCAAAACTTACCATGAAGACGTAATGATTAATACGTAATATGTAGAAGATTTTAATCTTTGCGAAAAACCAACACAAACTTTTGTTAAATTACGTGAACTATTTGTCAATGCCAGTAACGTCTTTGCGTCTTCCCAAATATTTCAGCAAAGTGGTGAAATCACGAAGTTTATTTATTTTCGACTGGAGTTTTGTCGAAGAGACAAAAGCATCAAGCATATCGGGAAAAGTTCAGTTGCAATGCCTTAAAGTTTCGCATCTTCGTCTGAGACGTGCAAAAACATCTTATCAATGCGAATAAATATAAGTCTGCTTAGCAAAAATAGGCCCTGATAAGCTCCTGTGTTGTGCGTATCTATGTAGGAATAATTAAACATTTACTGCTTATTTCACGTGATCCGAGTTTGTCGCCGACTCATTTTTGTGACGTCACTGGAAAAACTGGAATTCCGCACATTTGTCGGCGGCGTAAGATTTTTGTCCGGAGCATATCTCCTAATTACATACAGGAATTTTAATGAAACTACATAGAAATTTTCACCACTATGAGAAGCTGTGTCGTGTGCATAACTCAGGTTTCCAGGTCAAAGGTCAAGGTCACACTTAGAGGACATTGAAAAACGCTTGTCCGGAACAAATCTTCTACATGCATAGATAGATTTCAATATAACTTAGTGCAAATGTTCACTATAATGACGCAAATTGTCGCTTACAAAATTCAGGTCCCTGCGGCCAAAGTCAATGTCACACATAGGGTCAAAGATCAGATGAAAAAGTGTATTTGGACAATTCAGTCATCATTTACTGTGAGATTTAAACACAGATGGTCATTATCATGACTACATGTGTAAAACATGTAATTTAGGTTAATATTTGCAATGTCAAGGTCACTTAACATGATGAAATATAGAGATTTTGTCCAGAGCTTATGTCCTACACGCATGGTTGGACTCTAATGAAACTTCATAGAAATGTTCATTCACCACCTATGAGAACATTGTCACATGCATAAACAGGTCTTTCAACAGGATTTCAATGTTACTTGGCACAAATGTTCACTATAGTGAAGCAAATTGTCGCATGCAAAATTTAGGTCCCTGTGACCAAGGTCAAGGTCACACATAGGGGTCAAAGTTCAGATGAAGATATAAAAATGTGTATTTGGACAATTCAGTCATCATTTTCTGAGAGATTGAAACACAGATGGTCATTATCATGACTACATGTGTAAAACATGTAATTTAGGTTAATATTTGCAAGGTCAAGGTCACTAAACATGATGAAAAATAGAGATTTTGTCCACAGCTTATGTCCTACATGCATGGTGGGATTGAAAGGAAACGTCATAGAAATGTTCACCACTATGAGAAGCAGTGTCCCATGTATGAACTAGGTTTCTAGGTTAAAGGTTAGGTCACACTTATAGGTTATTGTAAAATGCTTGTTCGCAGCAAAACTTCTACATTCATTAAGGTCAAGGTCACATAGAGAGAACAAAGGTGAGATAAAACAGAAGATGTTTACAGAAACCATTTCAAAACAGAAGATGTGTACAGGAACCATTTAGCCATCTATAATGCCCGCATCTCTGTCATAAGCTTTAATGACGGGCGTATTTTGAGACAATGTCACCCTTGTTGTATTATAACTTAACTCTATCATCTTTATTTACCGTTCCTAATCTGTCACCCGTAGCTAAATATCCTATATGCAAGTGTTTGGTGCAATGCTTCATTAAACTTTACATTTGGTCATAGCATATGTAACTGCGTATATTATTTTATTTTGTTAATATTTGTTATAAATAGATATCTTCGATGTTTGAATACAATATTCTGAGTTAATATATAATAAGTGTAATAATTACATAAGTATAATAAATAAAAGTAAAAGAAAAGAAAATAACTAAAATGTATTTGTTTACTCACCTTTTTAACTTAGAATATGTACATGTACGCTTCATAAGCTGTTATTACTTTCTTATATAAGCATACAATTTATAGCAATTAATGTAATATTCTAGCATTGGTACTTTACATTTTGTCATAGTATATGTAGCTACGTATATTACGGAAACGTATAGCGACCACCCGTACATGTTAGTTAAAGCAGAATTTTTGACAATTTATTTAATATATATTATATACCTTACCAAGTTTAAGTAGTATATAATTATATTTTGTAAATATTTGTTATAAATAAATACATGTATCTTGAATATTTACAAAAGTTGCGTCCTTTGTCTTATATACATAATAACTACCAACTGGGCTACGTTAACAAATATTTTACCGAGCATGTTTTATTCTATGGAACAGAATTAATGCATTTATTCTATCTTGCTTGATGACATTGAAACTTGCATTATGCTTGATTCTATCATGCTTTATGATATTTAAACTTTGCATTAAGCTGTATTCCATTTTTCTTTATTTCATTTAAACTTTCTTATATATTTCATTGAGTGATAACTATTAAACTTGCACCAGCCATTTATCGTACTGTTTTGGAATATTAAAAGGTAAACGTCGTACAAGCTACAAATCGCAACAACTCGGCCCTTTCTGTCAGACCTCAAACATAATAGTATGAATACACAGAACGGATACGGTATTTCGGTCTAACCTACGCTAAGAAACTAAACATGTAATCAAATATTATTTTAATGCTGGGAGTCGTTGACAAGTTTATCTAAAATAAGTGAATTCATAGGTACATAAGCAAACAATACATTATTTATATATTTATTATTATGGCTGTAGAAACCGAAAGTACAAATCAAAGCACAGAAGGCGCTGAATTTGTTTGGGTCTCAGAATGTCAGAAAGATGAAAATTGTGAGATTATAAACCAATTTGTTTTTGTAAAGTGCCACCAATGCTTTCCAGTGTTTTAATTGCAGTAAATTGGCTTTTAGACTAATTGCAACACTGATATTCAATTCAATGTTTATTTGACTGAAACAATTTGAAAAAAATGAGTTGCCTTAACTGGGATTTGAACTCCAGACCTCTCGAAGCGAGCGCGCAAACCCCTCGGCCATGTTGACGTTATATGTTAAAGGCTGAAGAAAACCATATTATTCTAAATTAGGGTTTGTAACGACGCCACAGATGTTAACAATCATGGATATTACTATAAGAATGTACATCTATAAAGAATAAAACAATATTAGAAATCTTCGACCATTCGGGAACTATTTTGCTTGAAAATTAATGCGCCTTTCATTTGACCATTTTTACGCAATGATCTCCCCTGAATTTTTCGGCGTTAGTGTACATATAAAGGGATGTAACTACTTTCGGCATTTGCAATTAACAGCAACAGAGTCTGAAATTTCGCTACCATTATTTTGTTTGGTCTGACGACCCAAACAAATAAAAACCAACCTGTTGACATTTAGTCGGATTTGTTTAAAATTGAACATCAGTGGGCATATTTAAATTACAAGTTGTTGTCAGACATATTTTCAAGCATATGAGTACCGGAGCAGACATTAGATGTCAAATATATAAATTCGTTTTACATTATCGCTGTTTCTGTTTACATCTGAAACCACGTGGTAGAACTACTTTCAATCCGTATTGTTTTCGAGGTTATTATAGATAATAGCCGAGGCAGTTCCGAATGATAAGCTACCTTTCTTCATGCTCTATACAAACTTTTTACGGTTTAGTTCTTTATTGCATTACTTTTATGTAGATCGACTATTTTTATTCCCCACTTTCTTTTGTACACCTAAAATTACACGATGGAGTTTGTGACTTAATTATATGATTTATCGCTCGCATGGCGTGATTACTATTAGCTTTCGCTTATTTCCATTATTAACTGTCTATGCTAAATAAAGCTCGGCATCTGATGCCTTTCGGATTATGTTTGGTCATCTTACAATATATATATAAACAATTTAAACAATGATTGTCTAGTTTTGTGAACTGTAAAGGGGCGAGAACTCCCGGGTGCCATACAACGGTATTTGCGTATATATATATACGTACCAAGCACTAAATATATCAATTGCACAGGAAGTAATATAAAAATAAGTAGAAAAAGATTATGCAATGTAATTTTATATATTTGTATACAGTCTAATAGAAAAAATATATTCGTGAGCAGTTATTTAATGGGATGAGTTATATAGTGGCGGATCCAGGCCCTGGCTTAAGGGCTGCACCCATCCCCAGTTCAGCCAAAAGATACATTCATGAGCTTGG